GCAACCCAAGCGCAATCGCCTATATATGTGAGTGTGTGTGTATGCGTGTGTTTGTTTGTATGTGTATGTGTGTGTGCGTGTGTTTGTTTGTATATATATATATATATATATGTATATATATATAAACAAACACACGCACACATATATATATATGTGTATATGTTTGTAAAACATATTTATAATACACAAATTTCCGTTAAATCAATTTTATTTTCAGTCAAAGTGGATGATGCTTCTAAAACAAGTGTCGAAATTGCGAACGAGCCCAATAAACTCTTACAGTCAGATTTTGTTGTGCAAGAAGAAGAACGACAACAGCGGCAAAAGCCACCGCAACAGCCGCAGCAGCAGAAACCGGAATCAAACACAGCGGTACTGCAAATTGTCGACATAGCCGCAGTAGGTGACATCTCAGAAACGATCCAGCAACAACTGCACCATCACCACCACAACAACAACGAGCAAGGACTTACAGTAATTGAAGTCGAAGTGGATTCAACGGAAGAGATCGTCGAGCTAAGCTCGAGTGGTACCGCAGCAAGTGAAGTTTCTGTATTGTCTGACAACGTATCTAACATGTATATAATTGAGCCAAGTCTCTCAACTAATTTAAACGAAAATGTTGCTGCTGGCCAGGTGGAAGGGGAGGAGGCACACCGTATTATCGCCCCAGTAGTAACTAGCTCACATGATAGCACACCCGATGAGACTGATCGATCCCAAGAAATGCCAGACTTGGAAGCGACACCGATTGGGGAAAATGTAAAAGCAGAAAGTGAAAGAAATACATCATTATCGAAAAATTTATCAACGAAAAGCTTAGTAACAGCAAAAGACGCCAAGGATGTTAAGGATGCGGATATAGAAAAAGTAGCGGAGCCAAACAAAATTGAGACATCAGCGCCTGCTGCACAACAAGAAACTATCGCCAGTAATGTTGCAATGGAAACCACAGATATCGCGACATCGTTGATCAACTACAATGAAGGTCAATGGTCGCCGAATAATCCAAGTGGTAAGAAGCAATACGATCGCGAGCAACTATTGCAGTTGCGAGAGGCGAAGGCTTCCCGTATTCAGCCCGAAGTGAAAAATGTCTCAATATTGCCGCACCCAAACCTAATGCCCATGTTTATGCGCAATAGCAATAATAATAACAATAATAACAATAAGCGGGTTCAGTCGATGGTTGGCATGATTGGTGGCAGTCGAAATAGTGAATCGATTGGTAGTAATTTTGGTGGCAAGCAAGCTTCAATGTCCGGTGTTCAAGGCGGCGGCGGTGGTCGCAGCAGCATGAAAGGTATGATCCATGTCAATCTATCACTTAATCAAGATGTTAAGCTGAATGAAACGGAAAATGCCTGGCGACCGCGATTACAAACTAATAAGCAACAGCAGGATTCGACGAGCGGCGGTAACTCCGGTGGCAACAAATCAATCCATGAAAAAGACGAGCTTGTGCGTAAAGTGCGTGGCATTTTGAACAAGCTAACGCCAGAAAGATTTGACACGTTAGTTGAGGAGATAATTAAGCTAAAGATCGATACCCCCGAAAAAATGGATGAAGTAATTGTGCTTGTCTTTGAGAAGGCTATCGATGAACCAAATTTTTCCGTGTCATATGCAAGACTGTGCCATCGCCTGATCAGTGAAGTTAAGGCACGTGATGAGCGCATGGAAAGTGGCACAAAATCGAACTTACAACATTTCCGTAACGCACTACTCGATAAGACGGAAAAAGAATTCACACAAAATGTCTCGCAAGGCGCGGCCAAAGAGAGAAAACTACAGCCAATTATTGAGAAGATAAAAAAATGTAATGATCCCAATGAAAAGGCTGAGCTAGAAGCCCTGCTCGAAGAGGAGGAGCGCAAGATACGACGTCGTTCAGGCGGGACTGTGCGCTTCATTGGTGAACTTTTTAAAATCTCAATGTTAACTGGGAAGATTATATACTCTTGTATCGATACGTTGCTTAATCCGGCTTCGGAAGATATGCTCGAATGCCTGTGCAAGTTACTGACGACAGTTGGAGCTAAATTTGAGCAGACGCCAGTTAGTGCCAGGGAGCCCGGTCGATGCTATTCTCTGGAGAATTCAATAAGGAGAATGCAAGCAATTGCATCTAAAACTGATAAGGATGGCGCCAAAGTTAGTTCCCGAGTGCGATTTATGCTTCAGGACGTAATCGATTTGCGCAAAAACAAATGGCAATCGACCCGGAATGAGGCGCCTAAGACAATGGGGCAAATTGAAAAGGAGGCTAAAAATGAACAGCTGTCTGCACAATATATGAACTATAATAGCTCAATATCGACAACAACATCAACATCCAGTCCCAACGGGGGAGTAAGTGGTGGTGCCGGCAAGCGTGATGCACGGTTTGGCGACGCACGCTCAACGGGAGGTTATGGTGGCAGTCATAGTCAACGCGGCGGCGATGGTGTCAGTAGTATGCGCCATCAGCAATCTAACAGCGGCACTAGCAGCAGCGGCGGAGTTAGTGGCAGTGGCAATGGCAATCATTCGAATGGAAATAATGACGACAATACGTGGCATGTTCAGACCAGCAAAGGCAGCCGCTCCCAAGCTGTGGATAGCATCAAGCTAGAGGGTTTGGTTAGTAACTCACGATTAAGATTTCTATTTCCATTCACTTTATACTATTTATGCCTAGCTCCCATTGAAAACTCGAGTTTATTATATCATTTCCTAGGATTATTGTCTTCCCAGCTGTACGTAACAGGTGGAAAAATGCATAGTTGACCAAGACAAGACTGTATATCAGTTGAACGTTTCACTTGGCCGTTTTCTAGCGCATGGAAAATAATTCATAATTGTACTGTACTTGAGTGCCATAGAAACAGAAGGTTTTTTATTTAAAATATACTACTTTGTGTGCTTGGATTTTCTGTTATGCACTGTTTTATAGCTGCAAAAGGTCACAGGCTATCTGCTTAAAAAAAATTTGAATTCGCTATATTTTCAGACTTTACAGCTGAATCAAAATTTGGATAACAAAAAGATGGGCGGAGTTAATCAGTTCATTAATTGGAATAACAATGCCATTAGACAATCGTCGACAACACCAACGACAACACCTTCAAATTCATTTGCTCCGCTCTCATCATTAATTGACAATAAAAGTAGCACGGATCGAGACCGTAGTGGTGGCTCCAGAAATAAAGGTTCATATCACAAAGGCTCCATTGAGCGGGATCGATACAATGACCGTGGTAAGTGTGGCACAAATTGCTATACCCAATCAATAGCAGAATAAAGGTTTATAAATTTTAAATTCGATTTTATAGGCATGAATTCGCGAACTGGTTCATCGCAAGGATCGCGTGAGAATTCATCATCGCGCGTTTCCCATAATGCGCAAAATCGTGGGATGATGAGCTCTTCCATTCAAAAATCCGCTAGTCATTCAAAATATACTCAACCAGCGCCAGCAACTAGACTTTCCAACAAGGTACGTACATATATATACACTTCTACTCTCTTTGATCCTCATTTTCATTCCCTTAATAGTCCCTAGGTTCTTCTTCATTAAGCAGTTCGGGCGGCGTACACAGGGGCATCGAGCAACAGCAGCAACAACAACAGCCGCATTTATCAAGTGGCTCAATCTCCGCTAGCACCTCAGCATCTCAGTCTCAGTCAACAACTAAGGGCATCGCGCCGCCAGCAACATTCATTGTGCCAACGGAGGCCGATTCCAAGCTATTTAAATCTGTTTTGTCTGATATACTTGAAGCTGATTTTATGGTCGATCAATGCATACAACGAATACCAGAAGTGCAGCGCTGTGGATTTTTATATTACATACTAAATGAATATTTGCATTTGGCGCAAGTGGGCAAACAAAACAGAAGACATCTTGCAAACGCAATTGCCCAACTAATACAGCAGAATTACATTTCCGCGGAACATTTTAAACTGGCATACAATGAATTTTTCAGCACTGCTGCCGATTTAATGTTTGATGTTCCTGAATTGTGGCTGTATATTCTTCAGTTTACTGGTTTGTACATATTAAAATTTATTCGTATACTATATATAATTGTAATTTGCATTTAGGTCCATTGATAGTCAAGAAACATTTGACGGTAACTGATTTGTGGAATAAAAATTCATTAGACAGCAGTCAACTGAAAATGGGTAAAAAGTTTCTTCATTGCTTTTTGACATATTGTACAAGAGAAGTAGGACCAAGCTTCACTCACAGCATATGGAAAAAATATAATATGTGCTGGTCAGATTACATGCCTGATAATGAAGTTAGTGATTTCATAAAATCTAATGTAAGTTTTATTTTACTGAAAGACATGTATTTGTACTATAATAATTTTGTGACCTATAATACCTTATAGAGATTTGACTTTGTGGAAAATATATTGAAGACGCCAGTGATTGATGAACGCGATTCCCACGAAACACACGTGCAAAATGTGATAGAACATATTGAGCAGTTGCTTAAGGAAGGCTCGACTGCTGATGAAATTATTGATTATATCAATGTAAGTTTGCAATCTTGTTAACTGCTTCAGATTTAACTCGTTCGTTAACTCGTTCAAAACATTTAAATCTAAATACTTTACAGGGCAATATTGTTGTAGCCGATAAACTGTTTATTAGAGGATTGACAGAAAATTTATGCAAATTTGCAATCGTTTACAAGGATAATAGCTATAAGCTTGATCCAGAACTCTTTCAAAAATTCTGCATACCGGTTTTTCAGCGGTTTATCGCTTCCAATGAAGATCTTCAGCTCGAGTGCCTTTACGGAGTACAGTTGCTCGTTCATAGCTGGGAGCAACCTAGAGGTATGGAAAAATATAAAATTTAATTTTGATTTTCAAAAATATATTGGAAATTTTGGTCTTGTTCAGGGCTATTGAGCGAACTTTTTGGTGAACTGTACGATGGCTTTGTTATACAAAAGGAGTCACTCTATAAATGGCGCGATTCGAAAGACCATTCAGCAGGCAAAGGTAAGCAAATAAATAAAATATAAAATGATATATTTTATATACATTAATTTTGTTTTCTTATACAGGTGTGGCTGTTAAGAGTGTGAATCCATTTTTAAACTCATTATTCAACGATGAAGCCAATTAATGTATCAATATATATATATACTCGGCGAGCTCACAGAGCGAGTTTTAGGACAGAGAAAACATACACAATTTAGCAGAGCACTAGCAACAAAGTAAACATTGCAGAATAATAAAAAATATATACTTTCATATATATAAAGAAGTGTGAAGTTGTGGCGGAAAAACCAGAGTAAAAAAATATAAATGTTCTGTTAAAATATATGGATGAACGCATATACACTACAAGATTTTACACGGACAGAGTATATATATATATGCATGTAAATTACAATGTATGAATGTACTATAAAAATAAAAGCTAACCTGAAGGAAATTTATAGTTATACAATAATTATTTACTTACACTATTAAATGTTATTGAGGGCACAGTAAATGATATGGATATTGGCAGTATCCACTAAATATGCTTCACGTTGCATTCACACACACACACACTGAAATGGGATCACGATGCCTCACAAAATCTTTTTATGTTCTGAACTGTACATCAACTAAAATAAAAATCAAAAAACTAACACTTAAAAAAAAAAATATTTATCCAACCAAGCCTAAAATTAATCTTGCAAAATTTTATAGACTTAATTGCCTAATCGTTTATATTTGTATCTCTAAGAGATTATCAATCTATATGTAACTTTAAAGAAAGGAATGATGATAGATCCATTTTAAATATAACATTTTTAAAGGTGAACAAACAAAAAACACGAACCCGACTATTTTGTTGTATATCTTTTTGATTGGAAAATGAGAGCTTTTCTCTCTCATTTTTATACCCTGAACCCATTGAAAATGGGTAATCAGGGTATAATGGTTTTGTTAAAAGTATGTAATAGGAGGCGGGGCAGACCCCACAAAGTATATATATTCTAGATCAGGGCGACAAGCTGAGTGGATTTGGCCGTGTCCGTCTGACCGTCCGTCCGCCCGTCCGTATATATGAACGCGTCGATCTCAGAAGATATAAGCGCTATACACCACCTTTTTTTTTAAAATGTCCGTATATAGCGCGCGCATATCGAGTTTATCACTAAAAAA